AGTTCTGTGATACGGTGGGAGAGAACTGACTGTTTTTTGGAATGCTGGTTTGCGTTTTGCGTTTGTGTTTGCAAAATGTCGCGGTAAACAAGAGCCGCCACCGACTTTTATTTTATCCAACAAGGAAAGGAAAAAAGCACAGAAAAATTCCTTTTTTGAGATATTTCTCGGGTTCGGGGGGTAGATTATAGAAAGGGAAGGTGTTAGCACCCTTTCTATCCGTGGTTATCCACGGGCTCTTAGATACTTGCTCATTGTTTTCAAAATTGCTTTTCTTTGTGCTTGTGGGTTTGAAAAATTTTTTGTTTGAAAACTTCGATTTAACTCTTGCTTCTGTCCTCAAGAGCGTATGAAGTGTTTTTGAAAACTTTGTTCGAAAGTGTAAGTGTGAAAAGTTTTGTTTTGTTTTGGAAAGAGCAAGTACCTGAGAACCATCTACCTACTCGAAAAAGGAATTGTTTTATGTTATCTTCCTTTAGACAATGCTATCCCACTATTGATGACTAGGTAGCACCGTCGTTGGAGTTTGAGGGTCAATTCGAATGAGGGACTTACGGTCACCGAAGCAATGTTAGGACGCCTTAGCGGTAACCCTAATGTCTTAGATCATTTGTTTTGAGGCAACAATATCCGAGGCAACTGTTTCGAGGCGACTATGATCTTTTAGACAAGAGAGCGACCTCTAAAGTGACTTATACTTAATGACCGTGTACGAAGGCAACCAAGTGGGGTGTACCCTAAGAGTGTGCATGTGCGAGTGTGTCGTTTTCGGTTATTTTTATCTTTGTACATGTTAAGGGTGATCTAAGTTTATTTTAGGTTAAACATTCATTCTTGTCATGCATTCCTATTATCAAACATCTAACAGTTATATTTTACGGGAAATAAAATATGGAATTTAAATTACAAGGCGTGGGTATTTACATCGCCAAAGACAAACCCTTTGTAAAAATAAATAAAGCGATAAAAAATAAATAAAGGTCCTATTAACTATTACAAACCGGAGGCAAGTACATAATTGGACAAAAGAAGGTAAATCACATGCGAGAAATTAAATCGAGCGCAAATAGGGTTTTGACCCTTTTTGAGAGAAAGTATCTTTTTTTGTTGTTTTTTTTTATTTTAGGAAAGAAATAAAAATTAATTAATGTTAGTAAAAAAAACCTAATTAAATCTAATTGAATTTTAATTATTTACAAAAATGTGAAAGTTATTCTAATTAAAATTCTAAATCAATTAATTAATGTTTATCAACAAAAATAAAAGTTAGAATTTAATTTGATAAAGAAAATGTTTTGTGGTTTTTTTTATATTTTAAGAAAGAAATAAATCTAAATTAATGTTAATAAAAATCTAATTAAGTCTAATTGATTTTAATTATTGAAAAATATATTAAAGTTATTCCTAATTAATGGCCTAAATTAATTAAATTAATATTTGTTAATAAAAATTAAAATACTGAAATTTAATTTAATAAAGAAAATATTTTTTGGTTTTAATTTTATAGAGAAAATTATTTGATTGGTTAGTTAATAATAAAAATAATAACAAAACATTTAAATAAACTAAATGAAAATAGAGAGAGATAGAGGTATATGGGCCTGTTGGAGGTTTGATCAGCAATTCTGAGGCCCAATTACATTGGCCTAGCTTGACTTTTTGAGATCCCCTATGCGCATGTTGACTGGACTCCATGGTGGACCATCAACCTGTATCACTAGATCTGGCATTTGGCCATCTGGCGCTTTGACTTGTGAAGGCATATGGTGAGCTCCAAGCATTGATTTGTACCTGATTATCTTAAGAAAAAATATAGCAAAGCACATGGGGGACCTGGGATCGAACCCAGGTCCTGTTGGATGTTGGATGCACACGTTTACCACTCATCCACTTTGTTCCATTTGTTAGGTATATACAAAATAATAATAATATGAGATAATGCGCCATATGGCAGGAAAAAAAACGCGCGAATTATTTGAACCAGCCACTGGGGAGATGACACGCCATCGTCCCCTACCTCCAGCCCCTTTAACTTTACCTGCGGATTTAGATCCACAGCTAAATGCGCAGGTCGATCCTATAATTAATTCCAGGCCATAAAAACGACCTCCAAAGGCATGGTTAGGTTCGTCTCCCTCTCCTGAGTGCAACCATGTCTATCACGAGACTCAATTTCACCTGAAATGCAAATCCCTAAAATCCAACACGAAACCCTAGCCATGCTGTTATGAGATTACAATCCATATAAATGAAATTAAATATTGCTACAAGCTTAGGAATCTCATGAGAGTCACAAATATATTAATGATTTGCCAGAAAGATGCAAGAATTGAGAGCTACGATTTTGAATACAGGGCTGAGATATGTGACACTTACAGCGTGTTTTGGTGTGTATGAGAGCTTTCTTTGGATCCCAGAAGGTTGAGTAGACACCCAACAATCGATTGGTATCAAGCTTTGCTTCTGAAAACGCCTCAAAGTAGGATTTTGGTTTCACACTTTTCAAAACTTTTTTCAAGTTTTGTTTGGTTGGTTCTTGCATCCTCAAGCCTTGTTTTCGCGCCCTCTAGCTTTCTTATGTAATGTGGAATGTATTAGGTTAACAATTGTGCTTTGAATCTTTCCACATCAATGCCATGAGATTTGATTTGATTCACCATTACTAAAGCTTCCAAAATTGTCAAAACTCAATCTTTTTGCACATGGAATGCTTAATACGAGTTTGATACCCTTGATGATGATGATTCAGTCCTGAAATAGCCAAAAAGATATCAAGTAATCAATATTTGGATTTTATTTGATTTAATTTGATTAAAAATGAAATAATTCAATAAAAAATCAAATAAAATAATAAAAAAGAAATATGATCTCAAGGCTGAATATAGGACACGTGTGTAATGTGGCAAGTTCAAATCAAGTGGAAAATAATGGGCCCATTTGACAAAATTTGAAGTTTGGGGATAGTTGACTTTTGGCAATTTTGCAAAAATGTCCAACTTCAACAATGCATAACTTCTTCAATTTTGAACTTTTGGAGGTGTTATTGGCCTTTATAGAAAGCTTGAGATGTCCTCTAACCAACCCTTTTTGTGTCATCTCATTTTGATATTCCATGATCAAGTTATAAGCTTTGGCAAAAAAGGTGTTTTTGTTGACTTTCAAAAATGACCTATAATGTCCAAATTTATAACTTCTTGTGAGTTCATTTTTTTATCTTGGGGTTTGAATATGGATTGTAGGAAATTGCATCCTCTTCAAAATGAGCTTTGGATGGGTCATTGCTCATAAAGTATGAGAAAGTTATGCTTGGTCAAAGTTGAGTTGAATTTTCCTACAAAACCCTAATTTAGCAACTTTTGAGTCTTGATGATTTTTGAGCAATCCTTGATGAATCATGATCAACCCTTGATAAAATGATGAAATACCCTTCAAAATGATAATATTGACAAAAAAATCTTGAAGTTTGACTGTTTATAGGTCACCGTTGACTTTTGCCCTAGCACAGTCGATTTTTGGACCCTTTGAGCAATTGACTGAGTAAACTTCCTCTGCAAGGCTTGAAATTTGACATGGATGACCTTGAGAACATATTAGGACATTGGGGAGCACTTGAGGTCATTTTTACTCAAGGATCTTGATTTAACACAAAACCCTAATTTGGGGTTGACTAACTTAGGAGATAGCTTGACTGTCCAACTTTTGAGCAAACTTGAGCCACTTGGAGATTTTTCTTGTAATGTCTTGAGAAATATGAGAGGGAAAATTTTGGGGTACAACATTCAAGCTCAAAAAAACGAGCATCTTGGGTTTAGGAGACACAAATTCGGTCCATTGACAACACCATACCCACTTCAGATTTTTTTTATGAGTGCATTCTATTATTACTATCAAAGAAAATAATTGAATAACAGTAATAAACAAAATGAAGGAAACAATGTAGTCTTGGTAAAACTAGGGTTATTTTTTGGCCCTTCTTATTTCCCTATTTATTTTGAAACCCGAAGGAACAACACCACCGTGCTGGCGGCACCCACGGTGGTCAGAAATGGTCGAGCCATATACAAATCCACTCGTCTTTGTACCTTTATGTTCCTCCCTGAGGCTCACGCGGCAGAGCCACCTCCTTCCAGCTTATTCTTTGACCGATTTCTACGATTTCGGATCTATGTGTACTCCGTGTGATTCAATTGCGATTGCAGATTCAGACGATTCCAAAACATAAAGCAAAATAAGTGCAGATAGAGGGAGTTCAAGGCTTACTTGATCGGAGATGCTCTGATGTCTTTTTGAAGTGAGAAATACGAACATAAACTAAGAGATGAAGATCACAGATGCTTTTTGTGAGTATCTACTCCATTCTTCTTGAATTCTTTCCATTAACCCGCTTCTTGTTCGTTCTTCTTCTATCTTCTTTTGCAAACTATGTGTACAATATCTATCGACTTTGTGGTTGTTTCTGAAGTTTGTTGATGGTGATGTGTTTTCGTTGTAGAAGAGATTGATATTGGAGCACTGATGATGATGGAGGTTATTGAAGAAATATGCAGAAGATTGTAGGTTGAAGAGGATCGATCCCTTTTTTTGTAGAGAAATTCAGAGGATTTGAAGCAGTGAGAAGTCAAGTTGCAGAGAGCAGAATGAGAGAGGTTGTTTTTTGAGTTTTTTGTGATTCTCCCCAGAAAAAAAATTAAGAGTCCATCCCCCCAGGTCCCTTTCCCTCTTTTCTCTTTCTGTTAGATCTAGAAAAGTTAGTTAGCTCCCATCAGATTTTAGCCCCCGGATTCATGAAATATGTTATATGATTGAAGGGTCTAGATTGAGGAAGTTAGAAGTTTGTTATATGGTTAGTTGGGAGCTCTAAAAATTCTGTTAGAGTATTCTATTATGGAGGTTATAGGTTGTTAGGATTTTATTGAGAAATTGGTTGTTGAATTAACTGTTTTGTGATGTGATTTTGCAGGATCGGTAAAGGAGTTGTTGAACTCTCATCTTTAACGTCCTCAGATGGATAACTTCCTTTTTTTTACTGAAGGGGGTCCGGTCCTACTGTACGTATTACTGGGGACATTACCAATGAAGCTTTTATACATAGTAAGGGCTTGAGCCATCATGTTAGCAGGATTGGATGCAGAGCTAGGAAGCAACATTGTGGTACCCTCCTTCGCTACTTTACCGAAAGTATGAATATATTGCTCTGCTATTCTTAAACTTGCTGCCTCTGATCCTCCATTTTCTTTCAGGGGTTGTGACATAACAGAAATTCCTTCAGTTGTTGCTCTTGCCCTAGAAATGATAAAATGTAGATACCATTGCCATGAAGTTGTACATATCCATAGTTTACATTTATATGACCTGAACTTAGAGAATTTTAGGGTTGAAGTTTTCTGAAATTTTTAGGTTTTGAATTAGGTCTAGAAAAATTCTCATTCATCTTTGATTGTTAGCTTAAGTTGTTTATATGTTTGGATTCGTGGGAAAAAATGCCACAACTTTCAGGTTTGAAATTTTCATTTTTGTTAAGAGATGAAGAAGATACAAGTCCTTTGGCTGGAGGTTGAAGATGAAGTCTTCAAAACACGTTTTGCCTTACATATTTATTGTTTCATTTGTATTAACGGATGTATAGCCACCCAAGCGGTAAGGCAGCATGCTAGTAATCAGGAGGTCATGGGTTCCAGCCTCAGCGCGCTGCCTTTTGCTTTTTTCTCTCATTTTTACATTTTTTGTTCCTTCCAGCGCGCATGGGCCTTCCTCCTCCCGGGCCTGATTTTTTTTTCTAACATTCCTCCCCCCTGTTTCATATTTGCACCCTGGACCAATTTTATTTTATTTCTTCATTTTTTATTTTATTTATTTTATCAAACATATTTTTCAAATACTAAAAATGATAAAAATGCAAAAAATGATATTTTATATTTTGACTTATCTTATTTTATTTTTCCATAAATAAAAATATTTTTTATTCTTCATACTTTATTTATTTAAGTAAATCTTATAACTTAATTAATATTATATTATTTATTTATTTTTCTTCACGCCATTTAAAATATATTATTTTAATACCAAAAAGACTAAAAATATTTTAAAATGCTATAAATATTTTCAAGATAAAAAATGCCAAAAAAAAAACTTTTCTTAAACTTATTTTCTTTTGATTAATAGAATTAGGGTTTTCATCTAAAATCTTTTCTCAATAATTTCAAACTTAATAAATTATTTTCTTTATTTTATTAGGTTAAGGTAAAATTCCTTTTCATAAAACATCAAACAAAATATCCATTTTTCTTCACATTTATCTTCTTACATATTTAATTCATCTTGTGCATTGTTTATTTCAATTCTTGTATGTTGTACCCCAAAATTTTCCCTCCCATATTCTTCAAGATTTGCCAAGATCAATCTCCAGATGGTTCAAAATCCCTCAAAAATTGCACAGTCCAATTGCCTCCTAACACAGTCAAAATTAGGGTTTTGGTTCTGGCAAAGAAATTGAAGTTTCCAAGGGCCCAATCAAGTCCCATATGCTCATATACATTGTCAAGCATCCATAGGCCAAGTTTCAAGACTCACAGCATCAAATTGCACAGTCAAAAACCCTAACTGCTTCACAGTCAACTGCAGGGGCAAAATGCTCATTTGACAGTCAAAAGTCAAATTTTTTGGTCAACATCTTATTTTGAAGCCACAAACATAATTTGATCAATTCTTGATCATGATTCTCAAAGTATGGCTCAAAAAGTCTCAAGATGCAAAAGTTTCTATTTTTGGACAGCTGAAAAGTCAACTGCAAATTGACCAGAGCATAACTTCTTCATGGTTTATCAGAAAAATTCCATCCAAAGCTCATTTTGAAGAGAATGACATTTCCTACAACTCATCTTCACACTTAAAGTCCAAGAAATGCTCTCAAAAAAAGTTATCAATTTCAACATTATAGGTCATTTTCAAAAGTCAACAAAAAGGCACTTTAAGTCAAAGACCATAATTTGATATTGGTAAATCAAAATGACATGGGACCAAAGAAATTGGTTAGAGGACTTCAAGACCTTTCCAAAATGTCCAAGAACATGTTCATAGCTTCAAAATTGAGCAAGATATGCCTTGTAGAAGTTGGGAAATTTTTGGGAATTTTGAAAAGTCAACTTTGCACAAAAGGCTTCAAAAATGCTAATGGGCCTCAATTTCTTCCATGAATCATTACCCAAAGGCTATGCACGACCCATTGACCTCAAAGGGATTTATTTTCTTATTTTTGATTAATTATTTGAATTTTTATTGTTATTAATTCATTTAATTAGTTTTAAATATGAAAAAATATCAAATAACACTTATCAAATCTTTTTGTGCAGCAAATTCACTCATTATGAGCTAAATATTTCGTGCATCAATTAACAAGGCAATATCTTCCACAATTGGCAAGGATTGGCATGAAAAAAGATTGAAAAAGATATGGAGAAAATCAAATATTGGAATCATAAATTCAATGGATCTTTGGACTTGGTTTTGACCTAATTTCGTTCAGATACTTATACACAAGCTAACCTAATGCTCATAGACACGAAAAGCTGCTCAGAAAAGGCATACCAATTTGCAATTTTTCATTAAAAATTTGAACACTGAAATCCTAGTCACAAGGCGATTCAAGGTCTAAAAGCTTGTCCATTACGTTCCTGACATTGCTAGGAACGTGTTGCAATCAAGAACCAGTCTCCAGACCTCAAGAATTGGTAGAAAAACGTCACACTTTTCTTGAACATGTCCATAATCGTTTTTTAATTTACATGCATTATTCATGAGTTTTAATTGTTGATTCTTACTAACAATGATATTCTGAAGCTGTTGGTACCATTCAATTGAACTATGGCTGCCTAAATAAGAATCCACCATTGTTGAAACCTAGGGTTTCAGAAGCTTCGAATTAGGGATTTCTGTATATGGAAAAATTGGATCTCAAGACTTATGTCGTTGAACTCAGGAGCTCCATACGAACACAACCATGACCTCACGCCCTTTTTATATTTATCCATGTGCTAATCGCTATTTTCTGGCCTTTGTTTTTGTGGGGGTTTAAAACCCCCGCTATTTGGTTATACTTGCAGGTACAAAACGGAGAAGAAGCATGTGTGGCTTGATGTTACTGGACAATTCAAATTTGGCGCGTGATTTTGTTGTTCATATTACTAACTTTTGTTCTTTTTAATAATAATCACGTTCCACTAACATTATAAAGAAACGCGTTGGTTCAGTTGGTGGCTGAGGTGTCTGGCAAGTATTGGGACCTGGGTTCGATTCCCAGGTCCCCCCCACATATTTCATATTTTTCCTCTTAATGTGCTTCCATGCAGTGTTCATCAAAGGGCTCATCATACAACCTCACATCCAAGCCTGCCACGCGCCCATGAGCTTCAATCTGAAGGCTACCAAAGGAGTCTTACCATATGCCTCAATCAATGGACATGCACTCAAGCTGGAAAGTCAACGAAGGCCTTGTGTTCAGTGGGCCAAAAATGCTTCAAAAAACCTCCTAAATGGGCCTGATACCCCCCATGGTTTGCATCAATTTTTAATTCTTATTTGTTTTTCTTTCTTAATTCTATTAATTATTTTAATTGTTTTCTTTAATTCCCTAAAATAATTTTCATAATAAAAATAAAATACAGAAAAATCAAAAAAATGTTTATTGTTATTAATATTAATTTCACCATTATTTTTTTGTAAATAAACTTTAATAATTAACTTAGTTAATTTAGGTTTCAATTTTAACATTTTTCTTAATAAATTAACATATGTAGAAATTAGGGTTTTTTAACATTCTCATCCTTTTTTTATAAATAATTTTCTCATCATTATTATTATTATTAATTACTACTTTTGTAAATAAATTTGTAAAATAATTAATTAGTGTAAATTAGGTTTTAAACTTTAACTTTTTCTTTAATAATTAAAAATATTTAGAACTGGGGTTTCCTTCTAATTTTAAATTCTTTTCTTATTTCATTAAATACCAAAAACCTAAAAAACATTTCTTTTCTTTTATTAAATAATTAATTAGCTTTTTAATTTAATTTAATTTCAAAAGGGTCTAACGCCCTCGAACGTTCTATTTCTATTCTTTTCGCACGTTATTTTATTGTGAATATTATGTAATTGTTCAAGCCATGTAATAGTAATTAGGAATTTATTTACTTTCCGCATTTTTATTAAAACGGGTCTTTGTTAATTTGACGATGTATAGACCCGCGCCTTGTAATAGCGTAGGATTTACCTTTCCGTCATTTAAATTTCCGCACTTTTAAATTCTAAACTTTGCATGAAAGAATGTATGGCCTAAATTAAAAACAAGCGTAGATCACCATGATACATGTACAAGATAAAATATAACATGAAAATAACACACAAATTCACACACCACTTCTAGGGTACGCCTCACTGTTGCCTTGCCCTCGAAACGTGGTCGTCGAGTATAGGACGTTTTAGTAAGTCCTTATGTCCATGACATGATCCAGTTGCCTCGAAACGGTTGCCTCGGAATTAAAAAGGATCAATGGCATAAGGGTAGCTTCTAAGGTGTCCTACTGTTGCTCTGGTGACCACACTGTCCCTACAAACGAATTGACCCGAACACCTCCAACGGTGGTGCTACCTACCTCTCAATGGTGGGATGGCACTACCTTAAGGACATTTACACAGCCTAATTCCTTAGGGTAGGTAGATGACTCATAGATACTTGCTCTAAAAAAACAAATCAAAACTCTTTTCATACCGACACTTTCAAAAAGCTTTCAAAACAATTTTTCAAACACTCTTGAGGACTGATACAAGAGTCGATCTGAAATCTTTAAACGAAACTTTTTCAAACCCACTCACACTTGAAAAGCAAACAAACATTTTTTAAAACATAAGAGCAAGTACCTAAGAGCCCATGGATAACCATGGATAGAAAGGGTGCTAACACCTTCCCTTTCTATAAATCTACCTCCCGAACCGAGAAACTATCTCATAAGGAATTTTGCTGTGCTTTTGTCCTGTCCATGTTGGAGAAAATAAAAGACGGTGGCGACTCTTGCTTACCGCGACATACGCGATCCAGCGTTAAACAGTCAGTTCCAGATCCACCGATCACAGAACTGTCGACTCTGCTGGGGATATCTTTATAAAGTGAGGTGTACCTTAGGATTAAGATCACTTGTGTTTTCAATTGTTGTGCTTGTTTGCTTTATTATTGTGGGCTGCATCGGAGTTACATAGATCC